CTCCTCCTCCTCCTCCTCCTCCTCCTCCTCCTCCTCCTCCTCCTCCTCCTCCTCCTCCTCCTCCTCCTCCTCCCCCTCCTACCTATGGTAGCGGTGGGAGAAGACGGGCCCCTCGGAAGATCCTGCCGCCCCGATGGGCCCAGGGCGCCAGAGGCCGGCGACCTCGCCGGCCACCCGGGCGGGCGGCGCCGACCGCGCTCTGCCGCCGCCGCGCCGTGACACGCCGCCAGGGGGCCTCGAGGGGGCCCTCCGCCTGGCGTGGAGGGGGGGGGCGGAGCCATCCGCCGCCTCCTCCGCCGGGAGGGGCGCGCGGTGGTGCCGAGAGGGGAGGATCCGCCTGGCGTGGAGGAGGGTCCCACTCGACCTCCAGCGTCGTGAGACATCACGACGGCGGGTTTCTCCCAGGCTCGGGCCCCTTTGGAGGCTCGCTCTGGGGGCCCGGGGCCACAGAAGCGGCCCGCGACGAGAAGCTCTTACCGGCGTCGGGAATTTTCTAGTGCCTCCGCCATGGAGCAATCACGACGTCGGAGGTCTGGGTCCTGGAGGAGTGTCCCACTCCCCCTCCTCCACCTCCTCCTCATCTTCCTCCTCCTCCTCCTCCTCCTCCTCCTCCTCCCCCTCCTCCTGCCCCTCCTCCTCCTCCTCCTCCTCCTCCTCCTCCTCCTGCCCTTCATCCAGGTCCAGGGCACCAGGGATGCAGTGTTGTCCTTTCCTTGGAAGACCTCTGTGGGCTACATGAGGATCCACCCCCGAAACTTGTGGTACGTCTCGGACCAGGACCTGGCTGTCTTGGGAACGCTTTACATGGTATGTGAGCGTATGCTGATATGGTCATCACATCGCATCATAAACGAAATGGCAAGAATAGCAAAGCCTGATGGGGGGGGGCCCGACTCGTCACTCTCATTGAAAGTATGGTTCGAGTACGGTCAAGAGTATGTAGGCCCTTATCCCAGAAATGGTTGCAGGCACATCCCAGTCCACACATATGGGGGAATCGTAGAGGGTATTCGTCAACATATGCAGCATATGAGCACAACCTGCAGGCTGAAGTTGCACATCACTTGGGAGAGCATGCCATCACCATTGTGGTGGATATGCGGAACTGATTTGAAACGGTGTTTTTTTTCCAGCGCTCATGACGAAAGCGCAGAATATGTTGGTTCCCTTGCGACTGATATGGCTGTTGCTGGAGACGTACGCGCAGCCTAGAGTTATTCGGGCATATGGGTGTTGGAGCATTCCAACCAGAGCGCTGCAAGGCATACTCGCAGGATGCACGCACGCTGACATACCGCGCGATTGAGCGAGTGCACAACATGTACAAGGATGTGATGCCACGTGCGCTTGTAGATGACAGCACATTCCAGTGGACGGGTAACGACATGAAAGAAGCAACCAACTTGCAGCGCGCGGTGCACATGTTCAGCCAGGACGCTGGCGAGTTAGGCATGCTCATTAAGTTCGAGAAGTCAGGTTTCGTGACGAATTCGAAGAGAGCGTTGAAAGGGTTCAAGGTAGAGCTCAGAAGTTGCGCTCGTCGGCCAAACAATGGATAAGGAACCTCGGACACGAGATGCCAGGGGTCCGTCCAGTTCGGAAGCAGGCGCAGGCCAGGATGAAGTCTCTTCGTGCTCGTCTCCCACGCCTTCAGAAGCTGCGACGGGGGGCGGGTGTACAGGTCACCGCTCTTTGGCGCACTGGACTGCTCCCAGCTGCTGGCCACGGCGCTGCAGTTGCAGGTACGACCCCTTCGGAGTTGGCCAGCTTACGAACTATTGCTGGCACGTTATCTGGACGTAGTTTTGGGCAGAACTCACTGACCTTGGTAGTGGCTACCCAGAAGGATAGGATGTATGACCCCATAGTTCATGCCACGCTGGAGCCCCTGAAGGCCTACTGCAGCTTCATCTAGGACAAGAGGGTAGCAGTGGGAATACTACAAAGGGGCTGGATGGCCCTACAGCAAAAGCTCAATAATAAGATGTCTTGGGATGGGGTTCGAGGGCCCATGGAAGTACTTGCGTTCACGCTTGCACGTATAGGATGGAGCATGAGCTCCAGCACGACCTTGGTGGATAGACCAGGGCTACTTATACGACCTCCTGCGCTTGCCGCCCAAGACTGTCATAGAGTTTGCACGCCAAGGTGTGGAGCGCTGGCAGGCCAGGCAGATCCTTGCCCATCATCAAGACATCTGCTGTGGACACGACTGCATGTGGATTTGTGTGCTGCGTATGTGTATTGGTGGGCCCAAGGCTGCCATAAGAAGTGCAAGATTTCCGGGAGCCCTCAGGACGCTTTGGTGAGGAGGCTTCTGGACTCGGGACAGGTCGCATCAGACAGGATACAATATTTCGGCGAAATGTCCCTGATGTCCTGCTGAATGGTCGTCTCTTGGGCATTGTATATACGATTGCAATGGACTATATGAAGATTGTCATGATGATGAGTTGGTATGTCATCCCAAGCTAAACGCACGTTATGAGTACCGCAGGGACCGTCGTGTACATGCTTTGGGACCTCCTGATTGGGACAGGCTTGACTGTGCAATGTGCATGCCTATATACCCCGTGGTGCCCCCCAAGGTCTCCTACGGGCTCGAGGTACACTACTGGGGCGACTGGGAGCCTGAACAGCAAAATTGGACCTCAGTGGTTTACACGGACGGGTCGGGGCTAGCTCCAGGACTTCCTGAGATCACCAGATGTGGATGGGATTCGTTTGCTTGGGAGATAAGGGGCTTTCTGTCAGAGGTGCGTATGGGCTTCTAAAAGGGCCATTGTCGACGGTAGGACGGGCTGAAAGAGCGGCCCTCTACTTTGCTCTGAAGCTGCTGCGCGACGTCAGGCTTGTCGTGTCAGACCTGTCCAGCCTCGTCAGGGAAGGCGCGGACTGGAGCTTCGCCCAGCAGGAGCCGGACGCCTCGTGCGCTGACCTGTGGAAACATTTTTTCGATGATGAGGAGTATGAGTAAGATCCCTCCCAAGTTTTACCGGTGTCCCGCTCACGAGACGGCGCAGCAGTTTGTCGAGCAGGACCAGCACCCTTCGGGAGTACTTTCTTGGCAACGCATGGGCAGACATATTTGCGAAATGGGGTGCGTGTTGCCATGATCCTGCTGAGACGTTGGAATTCTCACTCGAGTCCGCCATTAGCGACGCTAAGATGCAGACCAGGATGGTGTCTTGGGTTGTACGCAAGATGGTTTATCGAGACTCCCTCACTGAGCGGCCAAGTAGGTTAGTGAGAGCCCCTGCCCCTGTGCGGCCCATAGGGCCCACGGCCCATGAAATGGTGGTTCGTGAGCCTGGGGTTTTCCTATGCAAGACCTGTCTGGGAGTGGCTAGGACCAAAGCGAGTCTTAGCAGGATCCTTGGGACCCCGTGTGAGCCCACGGCCGAGCAGAGGCTGCGAGCTACAATGACACCCGAGCTGCAGCGTGCGCCACCGATGCAGTCGGAGGCCGTGCGTGTGGCGTTTGAGGCTTCTAGTAGGGATGCTCCTTTGGGTTCCATCGACGCGAATCCGTCAGTGCCGCCCGCTGAAGCTATCGTCGAGCTCAATGGGCACCAGGTGTTGGTGACCCATAGGTGCATGGTCTGCACCTCTTGCGGCTCCTATCAAGTGTCCACGGGGAAGGTTGCGAATTGTAGGATTAGCTCGACGGCCTGTGTGGGCCCTTCCCAACATGGGCCCACCCGGCCCAGGCAAAAGTATTTCATCTCAGTCATTAGGGCTGGGAAGGACCGTAAAACGGGTAGGGTCCTGACTTAGTTTTCTAATGGGTGGGCCCGTGCTCCTGTCAGTCAGTTGCACGACTGGTCGGCCGTGTCTCCTCCTCTTCTTCTTCCTCCTCCTCCTCCTGCGTGCCTGGGCCCTAAGAGGGTCCCCTCGTCGCTACGGCTGGACGCGGCTCGGAAGGCGCCGGGGCGGTGCCCAGGAGGGACTGGGGGATGAGCGGATTCTCGCCAGGGCGGAGGGGTGAGGGAGTTTGGGGCACGGGTGTCGTGTTAGTTTCAGGGGCGGAAACACCACCCCGACCCCAACAATTCGCGTTTACTAAACAGCCCTGGGCGTTTACTAAACAGCCCTGCCGTGTTCGATTCCTTCCATGGGTGCGTTTACTAACTGTTTCGCTTGTCGGGGTGTTTACTCTGGGGGTGGATTTTCTGTTCCCTATAGTTGTCCTCCGCACGGACTTCGATCCCTTGGTCTGAAGTATGGGCCTTTCCCTTCTCTTCTCGGTCAAACGCCCCCCTGTTTCTTTGCTTTGCACCCTGCGTCAGTAGCAAGATTTTCCCCCAGCACCGTGTCCCCCACATGGGTTCCCTCTTCATGTTCGGAGGCGGCGTCCCCTCGTTCCTTCCGCTTCTCCGCCTTCTCCGCTCGCTGTTGATTTGCGCTGTGTGTCTTTGTGGTGCACTTGGCTCGCGACGCCCTGAACGGCCGAGCATTTTTCTCACACTGTGTGGGCAAAACTAGAATCGGCCAGAACGTTCCGGGAGGGCTCCGGATGACCTGGCGGCTGCCCTTGTGTCAGAGACGCTCCTTCGGGATCCCGCAAATGGGGGGTGTGCCCCGGGGTGGGCGTGAGCTCGATCGGGTTTGGCACCGAACCGCCCAAAACCGATGCCCCCCAGACGCCGGCGCAGCTCCCGACAGTTGCCGATTGGTTGGGCCAGGGCATGCGGGCGGCATCTATTTGGTGCAGTTCGGTGCACCAGCGGATCGAACTCATGCCCCCCCTCAGGGTAACCCCCTGTTGGTGGATCCCGACCCTCCTGGGAGAGTGCACCCGCATCGCGCCCTCGGGGCTGGCAGTGAGTCGGGCATGTCCCTCTACAGGAGGAATATCCAAAAATAGTTTGACTGTTGTTGACTACTGTTGAATCTGTTTTCACTTTCTTTATTTCTCCTCCAAAATCCGCCTGTAGGAGGACATGCCCGACCTAAGGCTGGCAGGCTTCCAAGAGTCTCCCGCGGACCCGCGCGCAGAGGCGGAGGCCATCGCCCGCGCGCTCCAGGACGACGACGCCCCCAAGGAGCGGCGACGTTCTCACCGCCACGGCGGGGCGGGGTGGCAGAAAGATGACGACGAGGAAGAGGAGGAGGAGGAGGAGGAGGAGGAGGAAGAGGAGAAGAAGTGGGAGGTGGAGGAGGAGGAGGAGGAGGAGGACGACGACGAGGAGGAGCAGGAGGAAAAGATGATGGAGGACGAGGATGTCGCGGAGCAGGCTGAACGGGGGGGTCAGGGAGCAGGCTACCCATCGGTCGTTCAGAAAGTAGGTGTTTTTGGGAGTTCCGGGTTCCCATCTACTTTGAGCGCCCCTGACGCCCAATCTACTTTCAACGCCTTCCTACTTCATGCTGCTACCCACTTCACGGGCTGGGGTGTTTCTCGGTCCTCGTGCTCTGTCTTGGCTTGGGGGCCGTCCTCTCAGGCGAGGCTGGGGGGTCGCTGGCCCGAGCAAGCCCAGGGCTGTGATGGCCGACGATGCTCATCCTGAGCAGGGGCCGACTGTCCCAGCACTCCTGCAGGCCTGCCACAACATGATCTTAGGACCCACTCTTAGAGCAAACACCCGATGTGTTAGAACAAGACAGTCCCAGCCAGAAATATTCTAAGAACATTTTTCGCGCAGACCACAAAGGGTGCTCAGAGTAGTCTCTGGTGAGCCTACAGGCGAGCCAGGGCGTCTCGCCACTGCTTGATCATTGCAGCGGCCCCGCATTGCAGCGGCCCCGCCTCCGCTTGAGAGGTTTGATCGCCGCCCCGACGACCGTGGGATTCAGTCGGGCGTGTCCGTCTACAGGAGGAATCTATCGAAAAATATGTAAAACATAGTCAGGGGACGATATGTTTTATCTACCATTTTTGAGTATTTGTATTTTTCGTCCAAAGTCCGCCTGGAGGGGGACATGCCCGACTGAACCGTGGGAGTGACGGACCCGCGCGCACCTCGGCTCAGGCCCGGGCATGGTGGCGGCCCCCAGATAACGGAAGGACGTGCTCAAGCGTTTGGCGACTCCTCGAGTGGGATTCCGTCGATCTGCATGTGGTGATACGGGGCATGGCCTCCGGTTGACGAATCGTGCCGTCCAGCGCCCACCTTCGCAGCCGCGGATGGCTGGTAGGCGTAATGAAGCGTGCGAGGGCGCCCGAGCGAGAATTCGGCGACCTGTGGGTCTGAGCCCTGGGGAACGTTTCCAAGCGAGAGCCTGAGGCTGCCCCACCCTCGGGGGCGGCTAAGACGGGGGCGATGACTACGGGGGGGGGGGGAGATCATGGCGGAAGTCATGATATCCCCCCAGATTTCATGGTCCTCTCCTTATCTCAATACGTTCCGTGGCCCCCCCTGGTCCGCGCACATGCCTCGGCCCCTGAACTGCACACACCCCTCTTGGACCCCCCCCTCTGGACGCCCCCGACACCCGCACTCCCCTCGCCCCCGCGCCGGCCTCCCACGGGAGCCATCCCCCACGGCCGGCAGCAGGCCGATCGGCGCAGCAGCGCCACCCGCACTGAGGTTAAGTCGGGCCCGCCCCTTTCCAGGAGGAGTATTCAAAAATGGTCGACAAAGATAGTCTGGGGAAGACTTTTTGAGATTGTTGTTATTATTTTTGGGCATTTCAGGGGTATTTCTTATTTTTCGTCCAAGCTCCGCCTGTAAGGGGACATGCCCGACCTCACACTGAGGCCCTCGTCCAGCGCACGCGGCCAGAAGACATCCGATGGGTAATGGGAGCGCCCGCGCCACACCCTCTCCCCTTCCGGTGGTCTCTGGAGGTATGGAAGGGCCAGCGACGTCCCAAATTTGGTGACGATCCTTCTCTTCCTTAGGGGAGCAGGCAGTGACATGAACACACCACCTCGGAGGTCCGCGCGGATTCCTCGGATCGGCGCTGGACACCCCCCTGCAAGGCGCGCAGAGCGCGCCCCCGCCGGGGGGCCCCGGCGCCGATCCGAGGAACCCGCGCGGACTTCCGAGCTATTGTGTCTATGTCATTGTGTGTTCCCCTAGTCACCCAGTCCTCCTCCCGCCCCTGCCAGCCTCTCTCTTTCCCGCCCGCGCTGCCTACTGGAGGGGCCTCGGGCGGGGGAGGCGGCGACGGCCGGGACGCCGGCCACCGCGGCGCCCACCGCAGGACGCGCCGGCTTCGGGGATCTTCGGGGCCTTCCTTCGCTCCTCCCCCGCGCGGAGAGGCAGGCGGGTGACCCGTCGCCAGGGTGCCCTGTGGTGGCAGGGGGACACCCCTCGAGGGCACCCGCAGCAGAAGGGGTCTGGAGGGGTTGCTTTGGGTGGTGACCACCCCTCCAAACGCAGCGCAGCCAAGGGCACCCTTGCGTAGAACATTGCAGAGCCGAGCTCGATTGGTTTCGTGTCTCCGATGCACTTCTCCTCACCCTCCCGAAGATGGCACCGCGCGCCGGAGTGCTGTAATTATATGTATCCTTCTGATATTCCTTCTCCTGCCCCGTCGCCCTCCCGCCCTTTCACACTCGCCTCCGTTGGCTTTTTTCCTGTCGCTCGCCTACCTTCATCGTTCCCTTCCCTTTTTTCCCTTCACTTTTCAGTCTTGACGGCGCGCACAAAGGTTTTCTTAGGGCGACAGGGGGGCCTGCTCGGAAGAAGCCAGGGGGATTTTTGTACGCTCCTGCCTCCTAATAAGCTGTCTAGCAAGCGTACTCGGAATGAAGTCGAGTCACATTGCTAGGAAGCTCATGCTTTCTTAGAAGGCCATCTTCGCCCCACCCCCTTTCGTGTTCCGCCAAGCAGGCCCTCCCGCTTAGGAATGAGTGACGATGGAGGAGGACAGGGAGAACCACAGGGAGGAGAGGGATGAGGCGAGGGATGAGGGACGAGGAGGAAGGGCGGGACGGCCACTTCCCAATTGTCGCTTGCCCCTCAGCGTCCCTTCGCCTCTCTTCCCCAGAGGCTCTGCCACGGCATTGTGGACCTCTTGGCGTCGATGGCCGTGGCCCGCGGCGGGCACTGGACGGGCGCGCGTTGAGTTCCTTGTTGGGCACGGGCAGAAGCGAGATGAACCAACGTATGCCAACGTGTCCGCAGGTGCCGTCGATGTTTGTAGCACGCGCAAGTAGCTCTCACTGCTGGCGCTGCTAGCCAGGGAATTGCATGTCCGCGCTTGCCCTCCAGAGCCATGCCCCGTTCCGAACCAACATCACTGCCCAAAAACATTTAGTGCGAGGTGCCTTTTCGAGGCCTCGCAATGGTTCGTCGCGGATCGGAGGCCCCCTGTAGCGAGGGGCGGTGCCAGCATCGTGCGCGCGCGGTGGCAGGTGATCCCGCTATCTGCCTAGCGCGGCTGGTATTTTTGGTGATTTTCGTTTCGTGTGCGTGCTGTGCCCTGTGTGGCCACGGCGCCTCGTGCGCTCGGCGCGCCGCTGGTTTGCCTGTCGCGCGCGCGGCGCGCGCGCGTTCTTGTCGCGGGTGGCCCTCGATTTGTTTCGCGTTTGTTCCCAACCCTCCCGCGTGTCAGGTCCTCGTTTTGAATTCGCAGCACTTCGCGCCTCGTCCCTTCTGCTTTTCTGCCCTCTCCTCTGCTCCTCCTCCTCCTCCTCCTCCTCCTCTTCCTCCTCCTCCTCCTTCTCTTGTTCCTCTCCGCTTCTTTTCCTCGTCATCCATTCCCTTTTGTCTTGCGTGGTGTGCTTTCGTTTTGCGGCCGCGCCGAGGCAATTTCAGCGCGCCCTTCGCGCCGCGCGCTGTTCGTTGTTCCCAGGCGATTTGTTGTTGAAAGTCCTTTTGGCGCAAATCGCATGCCGGTGCCGCGACCAGTCTATCACGCCCATCGCGCGGTTCGCGGCCCCGTGCGCAACCCTGCCGACGCGTTGTGGTCGCGCGCCGCCTCCCTACCATTCCAGATCAATGTTCGCAAGGTTCGTGGCCCTATGAGGATTTCAACCGAAATGCCGCAGAGCACAAGCCGCATACCGCCGCCCAGATTATTTGAGGCCCCCCATCTCGCGGTTCGCGGCTCCATATTTTTGGAATTCCATTGAAGACCCCCCGCGGCACAGGCCGCGCGCCGCGCCTGGGCCATTTTGACGCACCCGCCACGCCATTCGTGTCTCCATATGGAACGTCACCGGATGCATTGAGGCATAGGCCGTTGGCCACCGCCCAGACAATTTCAGTTCATTCTATACACGGTTCGCGAACCCCGGGGAGTTCAAACGATTTTTTTTTGGCGCAGGACGCATGCCTCCGCGCAAACCGTTGCAGCAGGCCTACCGAACGGTTCGTGGCCCCATGCGCAGCCCCCGAAGGGTTTATCGCACAGGGCGCATGTTGCCGCCCAGACGATTTCAAACCGCTTGCCATGCGTTTCGTGGCACCATCGAAAAAAAGGGTTCCGCCGTAGACGTTTGTGATGCACGCCGCGCCGCCGCCTGGACCACTTCAGCTGTCTTCGCACGATACGTGGCCGCATTCGGAAACTCCATTGAAAGGTCTGCAGGCACAAGCCGCACGCCGTCGCCCAGACCAATGAGCACGGTTCGTGGCCCCGTATGGAACCCCGCCGACGGCGCTTGTGGCGCGCGCCGCATTGCGCTGTCGAGACAATTCTTGACGCTTCGCGTATCCCCGCCAGCCCATCCTACACCAGGCGCTCGGACGAAGAGCGCCGATGATCGGCAGCTGTTCTCCTCCCCCTCTTCCTCCTTCTCCCCCGCCTTCTCCTCCTCCTCCCTTCGTCCTCCTCCTCCTCCTCCTCCTCCTCCTCCTCCTCCTCCGCCTCTTCCTCTTCCCTGGTGGCGTCTTGGAGGTATCTTCGAACGTTTTGGTGGGTTCTTGGGCCTCGCGGGCGGGCGGGCGGCGCTCCGCCCGCCCGCGCGCAGGGCGCAAGAGGAGAGCCCGAGACGTCTCTTGAGGCCCTCTTGGAGGACATCGATCGCAAAAGGGGGGCGCATTTTTTCGCGTCGCCCCCCTGGGGGGGGCACGATCCTCGTGAGGGGTGTCGAATTTTAGCCCTCTCAGGGGTCGTTATTGGATGCTCTAACTGCCCGCGCCCCCCCCTGTCCAGGTCAGTGGGGAGGGGGTAGG